ACAGCTTTAGTTTTTCAAAAAGGGACTCTACCAATCTGTTTTGGGACCTGCATATGCTGCCTTTGGAGCACAACAGCAGAGCTTGCAAGTCCACTGGTGAGAACACAGCTCCAGGCAGGGCCATGCTGGACACCTTCTCTTGGTGGCCACTGCTGGGAAGGGGCTCCCTCTCTGCTGGGTCTGGTGCAGCCAGAGGCAGCTGAGCCCAGGGAAAAGCAAATGGGCTCTGCCTCCTGCCAGAGCAGAGATCAGCACATCTCACCACACTTGCCTGACGTGCCAGCTACGCTTGGGATGGACTTCTCACTTTTGTTTGATTGTACCATTCTCAAGCAGCCCAACTTAGGAGCCAGGTAGATGTCACGGAAGTTATTTTTCATATATATTTTTTTTAAAAAAGCGCCTACATTAAAAACCATTATCTTCTTAAAAAAAAGTTAAAGGAAATAAAATTATCCTTCAGGGATGTTGAAGGATAATTTAACCTGAGGTCCTCTTCAGGTTGACAGCGTCCCTTTAAATTTTAGATGCTTCCTGCAAAGGAATTTTTTTTTCCAAGAATCAGATCTCTATATATGTCTATTTAAAAAATGCACATAAATATCAGCATTAAGTTTATGATTAGAAATCAAGAACTAATCTTTACCATTTTATAGTGACAGTAAGGTTAATAATACACACACTTCACCAACAACTGGGTTTTTTTCTGTATTTTGAATACAATTTGCATTTGTGTAACATTTCCCACAGAAAGAGTGATTATACTTCAAGATAGTTAAGCTTGCACCCCAACATTTTCACATTAGTGAAAACAATCATATTTTGAAAATATCAGGGCCTATGCCAGATACTAATAAATACATAATAAAAAAAAATAAATAAAAAACCCGACTGCCATTTATCCCGACATAGTAGAGATTTCATAGTCACTGGCCGAGGTTATAGGTTTACCCATCATCCTTACGTTTTTAGCATTAGTAATTCTAGCCATCATGGACACAGGCTTGTCGAAATACCGAACCAGTGCTGGTTCAGTCAAAAGGGAAGCTAAAAATTGTTCAAAGGTAATGGCCCAGTCTCTGTCAATGCTAGTGCTTCTCCGAAGAGAAGTGGTGTGGTTGCTCCGTACCAAAACGGTGTCTTCGCCGATGTCCTCGCAGTGCAGCTTTTCTTCTTCATGTGAACCTGCACTCAGTACTGAGTAGGAAGACATGGAACTGTCATCTTTTGTATCATCATCAGAAACGAGCATAGAGGAACAGGCTCCGTTGTCCCTGGGAGAAGAGTCTTCCAGCTTAATGTCTTCCATCTGCATGCCCAGGGTGGTGTCGGTGCAAATGGCCTCCTCGTCACTGGTGACAAGGCTGCTTTGGAATGGCTTGTGCTGCTCAAGAGGGTACTGCTGGTTCTCCTTCTTCTGAAACAGCTCACTCTGAATAATTTTGCTGCAACTGTTACTGCTGCTGTCCGCCTCTTTTGTGGGTTGCACAGAGAAGAGTTTACCAACCTCGCCTATCTCCAAAAGCAAGCTTGTCACAGCAGCGGTAGCGTGGTACAGATCTTGTTCATTGGGGTCTTCACTGAACATATTGTACATTGTCTTGCACAGTTCAATGAACTGCCCCTAAACACAGAGGGAAGAAACATTAATGAGAGAGCTTGAAACAAATCAGACTGAGATCTAGTAGATCAGTTTTAAAAGTCTGGAATAGAGGTACAACACAATAGTTTACGTGATTAAACTGAAATTGGAAATATTCTGGGTGCAGTCTAGAAAGCATTTTCTATGAGAGAGCAGCCAGATGTGTTGCCTCTCTCAAAGCTATTCAGAATAAACTGTTGGATGTTTCTTCCAACATATGACAAGTTTATTCCTCTGCAGCCACAGGAGGGCAACAGAGGGTGAGCAGTGAGACAGCACACATTTTGATGGATTTTCTTGTGGGAAGGATGTTAAGTATAACTAGGGGACTGAAAGCTAATGAGAAGTAATAAAAAATGAAAGAATAAACCTCTTGTAATTGATAGTGGCAACGCAGCAGGATGCAAGACTTTTGGAATTCAAAATTCACAAATTAAATAGGAAGAAGTTTTGCTTAGGGCCACCTTAAGTAAGAGGTATTGTTCTACAAGGAATAAACGTTCCCTATATTCTCTGGAGGGAACAGTTGTCCCAGTGGGTCTCCTCCTTAGCTGCTATGGATCTAAAGGGGAATGAAACTCACAGTTTAAACTACAAAACACAAAATGCATCTTTCAGGTAATGTGCATTGGGCATTGTGTGCCAGCTGGTGATATTCAGTGTCACATCACCCTTTGTCTAGAGATCAAAATAATGTTTCATCATTCCTGTATGTGTGTATCTCATTCTTTGGATCTTTTGGGGAGCTGAATGCCAGTTACAGTACGTTGAAAACAGCTAACTTCTGTAATCAGCTGACTGCTACTTTGGTAAAAAAGTATCTGCCTCAAGAGAAAACTTTTATTCAGTGTTGATGTATTGAATGTTTATAGGTATGTGAAGAAAGTTGAAAGTTTATGAAAAATAAGTAAATTTCAGCACAAGTACCTGATTCAGTTTGGGCAACTCCTTTGCATTTTTTGCTTTGGATTTATTCTCTTGGCTCCACATTCTCAGATAATTTCGATTCTCTTGTGAGCTCTTCTTGCCTATTTGTCAACAAATTACGCAGAGATACAGCAAAAGTCCATGCAGAAACCTTAAATTAGTATTTTTTTTTCCATTTTCAAAAGGAGCATCTTTACAAGAAATGAAAGATGTAATTCAAATGGAGACATCATGCATACCTTTGTCTGTTCTCAGACTCACTGTAACAAACCCATCATCTACTCCTTGTTTGTTCCTGCCGTCTAGGCCAACAACTAGGAAGTGGAGGAGTAGGGGGAGAGAGAGATCAGTGTGGTTTTAGATACATATATACTTTTCACATGTACAGTGCAAAATAAAGTGTTTATACTGCAGAATATGCAGAGTAAAAAGGATAGGACTAAATAATGGTTTTTGCTTGTTCTTAAATCTGCTGACAAATTCCATATAATTAATAATAAAAATACTTAGGGACCATCTTAGGTTTTGTTTGTGTAGTACAATGATTACCCTGTGTGACTGCAACACAAACAGCTTCTAGCCTGATATATGTTTGGTGATTATATTAGTACATCTTCTTTTGTCTATCAGGATTTAAAATTGCAATCTCTAGTCTACCAATTCTTATCTGTATTTTCAAACAACTTTCCTTCCTCCTGTAATCTCAAGGATGGGCAATATTCTCCTTGAACCAGAGAGAAACTTAACATCAAATATCTCAAGAAAGAGAATGCCATTTAAGACAATAGAGATGAGACTCAGGTTCTCATTAGGGCACAAAAGATTTCAAACTGCTGAACTACATTTTGATTTATCTTTTCGGCTTCAGATTTTTAGAATATTTTATGTTCTGATCCAAATATGTCTTGAAAGCCAACATATTTATTCTCATTCACCATCAAGGTGAGTGCGTGCTGCACTTATCACAAAATTACACTCTGTTGCAGCACACTGAGGACATTATTCTGAGAGTACTTCTGCAATGCATAATCCAGGGGAGTTCTTCGTGTACACATGCCTGCACCTAAGATTATCAAAATATATACAAAGACTGCATACTTCTTTTTACAGACAATACTTCACTTACAAAGTTTAATCCAATTAGAAAGTAGCTTCCTAAAAAGACATGATGTATGAAATGCATTACCTCATCTTTTCAAGCCCAAGACAAAAGATGCCTACCATGTGTACACTCTGGTGTGATGTCTTCAAAAAAGTACTGAGTAGCTTCAAAAGCAGAGTCTGGCTCCTCTTGCTCAGGGGATGGATCTAAGCAATGTAATAAAATTCTTTCATTAAAAATTCCACCCTTTAATTAAAAACTAGAACATATTTCCAGTGATACATCTAGAATATCAGTTTCTAAAAGTAAAAATGTGAGGATGCGAGGGGTAAGGAATCATCTCTTTTCAGCTCACGGGAGATGAGCAACTGGACCTAGCACTACCTTTTCACTGTCTCCTCCCTGACATCCAATACTGTCTGCATAACAAGGTGCTGTTTGCCTTCAGAGGCTGCCTTGCCCATCTTGTCATGTCTACTTCCATTACTTTCTTCAGCGCAGCTCAGCATGTCCTAAAGCAGGGTATGAACCCTTTCCTAGCTGGATATAGTCTGTCATGATTTGGTATGAACTTACCAGTCCCCAGATACCAGAAGTTGCATTCTTGAGATAGATCTCTTCCACTGTAGTTCAACAGAACTGTATTTTTTTCCAGTTAAATTAGTGAATTACTCAAGCCTACCTCCAGCAAATCCATCTGGAAGCAATCAGGGACACATGTTCAAAGCAAATGGAGGTGAATGTCCTCTCACAGATTTTAGATATCTTTACCAGAGAATGCAAACATGCACATGAATTAAACAACCCAAACTGCTGCAACATACTTAAATCATAGATTCAGTGAGGAGAGTAACAGGTTTGTAATGGCACATGTGTGACAAGCCAAGGAAGATATAGCTCCAGGACAACATTTTAATCAGGGGCAAAACTGTTTTGAGATGTTTCCATCCCCTCTCCACCCTAAACTGCCTTTCTCACTTAGCTGAGTCCAACAGTTTATACAGCTCCCTGGAAAACATATCCATGAAGCAATTTGGATTTTAAAACAAAGAGCTTCCCTATGCAAACAGCTGTATCAGCCCAGAGGGGGAGCCAAGCCTGGAAACAGAAACGAGTAGCCAAGGCATGGAGGAACATTTCAAGCTAGCTTTACTGTTAAATAAAGCACATTATGGTAACAAACACTGAAGAACACTGCATTTATTATGCATGGGGGAAGTTACCAACCCCAGCTAAACAGGCAAGAGACACATAAATGGCCTGGTTGTAACAGGCACAACAGAGGGTTGCATGTGTGCTTTCAGACTTTCCAAATCCACATCTCAAGGTAGAAGCTCTTGTTTTACGGCTGCATAAACAGCTAAAATAATTCCCACAAATTACTTTTTAATAGGGAAAGCTAGTGATAAACAACTCTTCCAAATTTCTGTTCTCAACAAGATGACAGCTCTTTTAGTATCATTTACTTACCGGGCAAAACATGCATTTTATACAGTAGTTTCAGCTTCTCTGTAAGATCTCCATGGCATGCTGCACCTATACAGCATTATATACAGTATGTTAATACTCAGCATTCAATGCCATTCTATTTATTATTGCTACAATATTACATTTCAGAAGCTGTTACATTCATTCTGGGAAGCACTGAACACTCCCTTTACAGCCTGAGCTCATTAGGCAGTCACTTGACTTCTACACTCATACGGTCTGCAGCAGAAATAGCAAGAGAACACAGACTACCTTACTCTGAATTTTGTACTTCAACCATAGGTCCTTCATTAAATGTTGATTTTACAACCCTCAAAAATAGAATATGATCATCACATTACCACTCAGAAAGGCCTCCAGCTGAAAGTTAAGACGACCTTTTTTGTGTGGACTTCAAACTTCCTAATCTGAGGATCCAATAATAACATCACATGGATTAGAATAAGATATTTACCAAAGAGAGAAATTAAACAGCATTTATCACATCTTAACCACAGGCTAAACTGATGTTCAGGCAGTATTTTCTAGTGATCTATCCATCTCAACCCTTACTTCTTTCTGGCCTTCATTAAAATTAGCTGTATGAAATCCAAGCAGTCTATTGTAGACCCTCCTTCAAATTAATTAACTTGATATTAGTTAATTTTAAAGTACTGAAATAACTGATAGTCAGACTTCTTCATAAATCATACTTTTTATGACATATAATTCATAAACAAATGAATTAACCTCCATCAATTAGGTTATGGAGAGATTTGTTTCACCTTCTGCTATGTAAACATCTAAGTGTGGTCTGGCAAATACTAGCAATCACAGCCTGCTGTAAAGCTTAAGACTGCAATAAATACAGATGTCAGGCTAAAGAACTGAATGCATCTACATTAGCCATTTTGCTTTCAACTTGGTCCTTTTTCAGCACAAAATCTCCGTATATTCCTATCTGGTTTACGACATCGTGCATATAATGCTTTCTCTTCTGGTGAGACTGTCTTAGGTTATGCACTCAGGGTACACAATGTACCCTCCTGCTAAAGGCGACACAAAATAACCAAAGCACAGAATGGGCTGCAGTTCTGAGTCCTCCAGCAACAGCTAAGGATGCATTCACCAAAATACGATTCAGGGCACAGGATCTCTGGTGACACATGTAGGCTTGTTCCTCTCCCCATCCTCAGATCACAGAATCACAGAATCACAGAAC